TTTGTTGGTGGGTTTATTGATATGACTAGAAATGCATGCATGCAGTAACCCTTCCCCAATATTTCCAAACATTAAATTAACAATTTTGTGAGCTTTGATTTAATGTAAAATTTAACTTGAAACGCTTCGTAAAATGTTTTGAAATGTTCATTCAACTAAACTACATTTTGCCAATAAACTGTTTTCACTTAATTAATAAAACATAATAAATTCAATGGGGTAGCCACTAGCCTGCCCAACAATTTAGTCCCGCTATGCCAATTCAAATTATTATCATTATTCATTTCTTTAATTCAATGAACACGAGAATATTTGCATAGCTGGACTATAAAATCGTCTGACTGGACACGCTACTGAATAAGTTTAATACAAATAAAACAAATTGTTAGGTAATTTCAGTACAGTCTTCAAATCAATTTGTTGGCCTTTATTTTTAAGATTTTTTCTCAAATTAAACGGTAATTTATGCCACTTAGAGCTTCGATGAAAATGAAAACAGTTCATGTTTTTAGGCAAAAAGTTTAAAGCCACAATGTTCGTAAACATTAAATATTCAAAGAAAAGTTGCCGTTTATTTCACGATTTCCATAGTAAATCAATTCTTCTCATTTCTTCAAGCTTGTTGTATATCAAACGATTTTCCAAATATATGTCTTTTAATATTGAAATCTTGCTTATCCCACGTACTCCTACAAGCAATCAGCCATATTTTTTAGATTAGCGAGGATGACCACCCATCGATCGTTGGTCACGCCCGCGATATTGATGAACTTTAGACTTCCCTAATGCTTTCGTTTCCCCGGGTGTAAATAGCCGGGGGGAATAGTACCCTCGCACGGCGCTTCGTGCCGTCGGCTCGGGGAAAAGTCACCAGTTATTGGAAATGTGAAAGTTTTGAAAAAAAATCGAAGATGGAATAAAAAGCACCATGGAGACGAATAACTATCTAAAGACTGTCTTTATCCTGCCGCTTTTGGATTACAGGACTCAAAGTTTTGCCCAGACTGGCCAGAGGCAGAGACCGAAATAACTATTGTGCAATTTCAACTGATTTGAACATTTGGGAAAGCTTTAAACTAATCGCAGAATTTGTTTAAATCACACTGGGCCTCAGTCTCAGGACCATAGAATAAGAAATGAATAGAAGGGCAACTCGCGTGTACAACGCGTCCTCGTTTTTTTGTGCGCATGCGTCAGGTCCGCCATTACTCTGGCCAGTAAACCACAGGCGGCCCAATCTCGCAAGGGTCAGTATAGACTTTATATAGTATGAATGTATATTATATTAATGTATATTATAGTAAAAATATGTCGTAAAATATAAATTTTAAAATGAAATTGACTTGCCTATTTGATAGTGTGTGTTCTCCTTTTATTCCTCCTTTGTTGGACTAATATTTTCCAAAACTTTGTACTCGATGTTACTAGTATACGGAAACATGATAAAGGCTAACGATTCTCGATCGTCGATACGACGGCACGGCACTTCGAATCGAAAATTTTCACGCTCAAATCGCTTTATTCTCCAAACAAATTCGCCAGCATGTACAACAAATGCCGTTCTTCGAAAATACGGAGGTACTTCGGCGTGATGTACAAGTTTTCGACCATATTTTAACAATGGAAATCAAAAGCTATTTTATATTGAACTTGCCCAGACCGAAAATTACTACGGCGAACGTCTGCGCAACCAGGCCTCCTTTACCGTTGGATTTACAGGGGGGGAAGCAGATATTTCCGGTAACAGCCAGCCAATCGCGGCCGCGATAGCGACTGTTTACATTATTTGAAATTTGATATTCAAAATAAAAACTCCTTCGATCGGATACTGTATAAAACTCGAGATGTTGTCGAAGAAAAGAAAATTAAACGACGGAGATTGAAGAAATTTAAGGAAGAAGTAATATACAGCGGCTCTTTGTTGGAAAGTATGGTAGAATATGATACTTTAATTCGAAATATTATCGTGAATATATTAGTGGCATCCTCCCCCCTGTAAATCCAACGGTAAAGGAGGCCTGGTTGCGCAGACGTTCGCCGTAGTAATTTTCGGTCTGGGCAAGTTCAATATAAAATGGGTTTTGATTTCCATTGTTAAAATATGGTCGAAAACTTGTACATCTCGCCGAAGTACCTCCGTATTTTCGAAGAACGGTATTTGTTGTACATGTTGGCGAATTTTTTTGGAGAATAAAGCGATTTGAGTGTGAAAATTTTCGATTCGAAGTGCCGTGCCGTCGTATCGACGATCGAAAATCGTTAGCCTTTATCATGTTTCATGTATACTAGTAACATCGAGTACAAAGTCTTAAACTATTAGTACTCAAAAATATTAGTCCAACAAAGGAGGAATAAAAGGAGAACGCACACTATCAAATAGGCAAGTCAATTTCATTTAAAAATTTATATTTTACGACATATTTTTACTATAATATACATAATATAATATACATTTATACTATAAGTCTATACTGACCCTTGTGAGATTGGGCCGCCTGTGAGTAAACTGGCTGCTGGCGTACTATAGATTATATGGAGAAGAGTTGTGTTTGGGCTATAAATTTGCCTTTTTCGTTCAAGTTTTTCAATGATCGTGAAAGTTTTTGACAGAAGATGAAAGAAATAAGGTGAGGCATTGCAATCAGCAATCTAAAGACGTTCTATTAGCAAATACTGACCGTTTTACTTGCTTGTTAAAAGATGTATATTTTTATATTGAATAAAAATGTTTGGTATATTCTTGGGTAATTTGGCACGGTACTCCTATTTTATCAGATACTTATGTTAGTTCAAATCTTCATAACAATGTGCTTACAGTAAAAGCATTGTTTCATCCCAATTTCCGTGTTTAGCACAGTTGAGTATTGTATAGTGTCTGTTTCCATATCGGACATATTTTCACGTTATTTTACCTGATCTGGATGTATTTTCATGTATATTTATACAAATACACAACTATTACAAACACACAACTAAAAGATTCCTTTTGTGTTTCTTTCACAAATAACAAGTGTTGTCTTCTGTCAAATAGTGGTTTTTTGAAGTTTGAAATTTTGTATAAAACAAACTGATAGACTATAGTATAGTATACAAATGTGCTGCAGGTGAATCAGAAACATTGCTAACTATGCCCATATCATAGAAGCATTTCATCTATTGTTTTTTATTCAACCAGGTATTAAACAGCATCAGAATAGTCATAAATTGTTGTTCTTTTATGTTATAATTATCAAGGCTATAATTAAAATATAGAGACTGCATGAGTCACCATACTTTTTGTTGTTATGTACTCTGGTGAATATGATGTTTGTGGTGTTACTCTCAGTATGCATCCACACTGGGCAAACTGAAAAGTTTGCCTGACCACGGTCAGGCATGGTGGGAATCGAACCCACGACCTTTGGGTTATCACTCCAATGCTCTACCAACTGAGCTATGAGGTCACCTAAGTATATAACACTAACACACACAAAAAGTATCATGTCTTAGAATACATTGATATCGAAGGAACCACACTCAGTTCCAAAATATCACCAACTCGAACTGACTTAACCTAGCAGTTCAGTTGGTAAAGCATTGGACTGGTATCCCATTAAGGTCACAGGTTCGATTCCCACCGTCAGGCAAACTTTTTAGTTTGTCCCGGTGTGGATGCACATGCAGAGTAACACCACAAACATCAAGTTATGACCATGTTTACACTTCATCCATGCCTGACAATCACTGACACAGGCAACACATCAATTTGCCTGAGTGTATGGAGTATCGTTTTTGTGCCAAAAGATTCGACAGCAATATAAGCTGTTGTGTATGCAAGTCACTGATTTGTGCACAAAACTGGACAGCCTTTTCTTTCCATGCTGGGCAATTTAGGCCTCAGCTAGCATGACTAGGTCAAGCTGGCAATGTGGCCCTTCTATAACATAGTATTATCCATGTCATAATTTTTGTTTCATTTAGTTTAATTTCTGCCTTCTGGACGTGCTCAAGCCTTGGCAACAAGTACTCAAGTTTCACTCTCTTGAAGACCAATTTGTCAATGATTGGATCATATTGTGTTGTCTTTGTAATATAATATAATATATGTATGCCAGAATGGCAGTGCAGAAACATTAAAATTTTTTACAAAAATATGTTGAATACTCTTTCATTTCTCTCCTAGTATTACATTATGCAAGATGTGGACACCAAATATATGGGGCTGTTCCATATGAGATGTGCTGGCATTACAAAATGGACCAGGCTGCTTAGGTACCCCCATTTCAAGTTTGTATTCAAATGTGGATACATGCTTTATTTTGCCATTCAGACACCTATAAATCTAAGAATGTAGAAAGCTATCCAAAATTATATTGCAATTTCTGCATAATGCTTGCCAGGCTAGCCTGCCTCCACTAGTGTATGAAGGCAAGCTAACCTGGTTTACCAGGCCAGCCCAATTACTCTTATGAACAGCTGTTAATGTAGAATGGGTTTCATATAATATATTCCTTTTGTTCCTGGAGATCTTAATTTTTTATAAACTTTTTTGCTTTAAATTTCATGCAATATTACATATAGTTCTATAACCCACAGTACCATGCAAACCATGCAATACATATCAAAAAATAATGTCACAGCTTTGTTATACACAGTTATTAAGCCACAAATGGTCAAAGGTCTACGGAAATTATTGGGGGAGGGGGGGGGGGTATTGCCCACCTGGCCCCCTAGTGTCCACCACTGAATATATGCATTTGAACTATTGCAACAAATCAGACTTGTTTTAGACTCGTACACTTGTGCTTATTAAAATACCAATTGGGACTTGTTGAACGTTTGTTTATAACAATATAAAGTACAGAACTAAGTAGTTCCTATGCAAGATAGAATCAATTTGTAGCCAATGTTCAAAAGGTATCTTTGAATGTTAGTAATATTTGAAACAGTTCCAAGGTTCTTTCAGACAAATCCAATTGAATATTGGACTGTGCTGGAACCATACTGACCACCTTCACTTCCTATTCTGTGATAGTGACTTTGCCACTTCTATAAAAACAAAAAAATACATTAAATTCAATCAAACTTGTACACGAAAAACAGCTATAAACACATGGAAGTGACCACGTGTGCATAAAAAGCAGCTCTGCTCTGGATGAAAACCCTCAAAATGCTCAAATCTATATAATATTACTGCAACATCTGAACAAAAAAAAACGTATTCACACTAGCTTTAAAGACCAAGACAACCCGAAAAATAAAAAAAAATGATATGTACGATAGTTGCAAAGATTAACAACGATTCACTAGTTTAAAACCTATAAACATAGTCTGTATCATGTACTGTATATATAAATAATGTTCGTCATGCAACTCCATATTTAATAGTAATATTTGTAGCTGATAAATACCTCGATTAAATGTTTTATTTGACCAATAAATGAATAAATACAAACTACTTACCTTCCTCTTGGGTGTTTTGGTTTTAAAATCTAATTTTATAAGCAAATATCCACAAAATGTCAATTTTAAAACAAATCACAGCTCTCACTCCATATATTTTATATCGATTCCAGCTGCAAGTTACTGGCCAGAGTAATGGCCGCCGTCGTATTTCCGGCATGCGCGACACGACATGCGCGAGGACACCGACTTCAAATGATCCGACATTCAGTTGCCCTTCTATTCATTTCTTATTCTATGACCTAGGCAGGTCCCATACCCCGAGCCTGCGATCCTCGGGAAGGAACGTGAGGCTCTGGGATAATCCGTTTCAGGGAGGAATCTGATTGACCGTTGATATGGAATGCGCAGATCAATCTTAGCCAGGATTCCTGGCTTCCGGCAACGGATTATCCCAGAGGCCTCACGTTCCTTCCCGAGGATCGCAGGCTCGGGGAACGAGATTGGCCCGTTCGCAGGTTAGATGCTGAGCATGTCAACATGATCACAGCATGATCGCTTCCATTATCTATATCAAATACTACAGAATCCTCAACAGGTAAGTAATGCGGGCGCGTATGAGGTAGAGCCCGCATTACTTATCCCTTGTGCCCTATCCCCAACGGCTAACCCCACCTCTAAGTGTAATCTAATTTTAACCTGACAATAATCTAACCCTAATCTAAATCTGACGTCCTTTTTAAATCAATCCCACCCCAAAAATCTTGTCTAATACTTGTGGTTTTGTGTAATTATGGCTATGTCCTAATTTTGGAGATTTTCACAATTACGGACATAACCGGGAAGAGATCATGTTGTCTATTGCCTCCCGACGTCATGAATTGAAGTCGATTAACTTCCCTTGCCCAGGCAATAGATACGTCCTAGAAACGGTTTCGTTTCAGTATACTGATGCAATTTTGAAGCCGGCTTTTCCTTGAATTTTACAATGTAGTATTCGGGCCGGTATATTTTGTGTGAACTCAGACACAAATCAAGTCAGGGATTCTTGTCCAACTTATACGGCAATTTCCTTTTTAGAAAACTTTTAACGCTACATGCATAAGCAACATATGTTATTATTTTTACAATGCCTTTTTATAGTAAAAATATGTTCTCTTGTGGCTTTACTAAAATAGTGTTGTTTTTTGTTCGCTGCATGGGTGGTACATTCAAGCCAGATAATTATTTGAACATGTTTAGTACGAATAAGTTTCCAGAAAACCAGAATAACAACATACAATTACAGTTTTTGTGGGTATTGATAAATTATCCCGAACAAAGTCAGTGTACTGCACGTCGCAGTTAAATGTAAAATAAACTTTATTTCTAAACTATAAACTATAAAATATAAGTTGAAAGTCGTTATAAACGTGTTTTTCGATTCGATTCATGAAACCAACAAAAAAACGTCTCGTTTGCGCATGTCTGACATATTGTTCGCTATGACAAAAATAGCGGCGACAATTTAACCGTTCACAACACTCCCGGGGTTGATCAATAAAATTGATCAATTAAACTAATACTACATTAATGTTAACGTTAATCAATGTACGTGTCAACGTCCATCACGAACTAAGTTGTCTTCTTACGATTTCGCCAACTACAGCTGCCTTACGTCTCGGTGTCCGTCTTTGTAGTTGGTCGTTATCTTTCATTTCCGTTTTCTGCTGATCCGCACGGCTCTGGACACAGCTGTCATCCGTCGCACTTGCCTTTACTTCGAGGGGTATCAAATGCTGTATTGGTCGCCGTAATGTGATCCGTTTACCGCTTTCCCCGTTAACCATAACTTTAGCTGACCGCACTGTACCATCGCTACTGGGAAGCAACATTTCCACTTTAGCCAATTTCCAAAACGTGCGTCGTGTATTGTCATTCCGTAAAATTACCATATCTCCAACTGCTATTTGCACATTGCTGTTTGGTCGAATCGATTTGAACGATTCTCTTAAACTCAACAAGTATTCTGTTCTCCATTGTTTGATAAACTGGTTTAAAACGCGTTGATGGTACTTTGCTCGCTTGGTGAGAGACTGATTTGTGCTAATAATCTCGTAATGCTTGTCATTTGGAGCGCTTGAAATTTGTCGTCCGTAGATCAAATGCGATGGTGTGAGTGCGTACGATATTCCCTGTTCGTCATCATACATAAACGTCAACGGTCTATTATTAAGGGTGCTTTCAATCTCGACTAGTAGGGTGCGTAGTTCTCCAAAAGATAACGAAGCGCGTCCGATAGCTTTCTTTAGACAACGTTTAACACTTCGCACCATCCTCTCCCAGAATCCACCGTGCCATGGAGCTTTCTCAGTAATAAACTCCCATGTTATTCTTCTATTGACAAAATAACGATTTACTTCTTTCGATTCTCCAATCATCCTCACTTCTTTTGATGCCGACTTAAATGTTTTTGCATTATCCGTCAAGACCTTCGTTGGCAGTCCTCTACGACTTGAAAAACGTCTAAACGCTTGAAGAAAGGTAGCTGCTGACATGTTTTCCACTAGTTCTAAATGCAAAGCCCTCGTAGATGCACAGGTAAAGAGCGCTATGTATACTTTGTCTTGGTCGTTGCTATTAATTGCTCCAGACGATTTTCTTACGTAAACTGGACCAGCGAAATCTATACCGGTATTAGAGAAGGGTGGTTCTTCGCTTACTCGACACGCTGGGAGCTGCGGAGCTTTCGGTGTTGGGAAAGGTTTCGCTTCGATCTTTCTGCACACGACACATCTTCTTACTATTCGCTTCACTGCTTCTCTACCTCGTTGGATCCAATATTTCTGACGAATCGAGTTGAGAGTGTCTCGAATGCCATTGTGGTGTACAACTTCGTGCTGCTCTTTGATAAGTAGCTCTGTGAAGTAATGTGTTGCTGGTAGGAGAATCGGCTGTTTGGATTCTTTTTGTTGAGACGAATTTCCAATCCTTCCGTCACATCGTATTAAACCATCGTCGTCGCGGAACAAACCCAATTGAGAGACCACGGGTGTCGGAGTTTTTGACACTCCTTTAAGGTAATTTAACTCGTGTTGAAATTCGTGTTCTTGAACGGTCTGGATCCATCGTATTTCGGCTTCCTGTAATTCTTGCGCCGTCAACTCAGCACTTTCGAATTTGTGTCGAGGGTTTCTCCATCTTTTCACATATCTTATTACCGTTGCTGTTACTCGTAACAGTTTCAATTTAGTGCTATATCGATTTATGTCTATTATATCGCCGATATCGAAACTTTCATGATCGTTGTTGATTGATGGATTCGCCATTGAGTACACGATGATTGGTGAGGTCTTCTTGATTTCAGCTAATGCTTTCTCCTCGTTATCGATGTAGCTTTGTTGTGGCTCTTGAGGCCAGTACTCGGGTGAATGATTCAAAAACTCGGGACCTTTCCACCAACTATGGTTTCTAACTAGTTCCTCTGCAGAACAACCTCTTGAGGGTAGATCGGCAATATTGATCTCTCCCGGACAAAATCTCCATTTCTTTCGGTCGAAAAGTTCCCTGATTTCCTTCACTCTGTTTTGAACATAAGGCTTCCATGTTTTGTCATTACGAATCCAACACAAAACGGTGTAAGAATCGCTCCACAAGAACACTTCAGGAGGCGTTTTTAGAGAGCTCATCGCTTCTTTGACAGATTTGACAAGTCTAACTAAAATAGTTGCTCCAAGCAACTCTAAACGAGGTATAGACTGACGCTTTATTGGAGCTACTCGTGTCTTGGACGCCACTAGATTAATTTCAATATCGCCATTTGCGTGTTCTGTCCGAAGATAAACAACTGCTGCAAATGCTTTGTTGGATGCATCAGAGAATCCATGTAACTCGTGTTTCACAGGGGGTTCTTCCTTTCTTGTGAAATAACATCTCGGAACTTTGATATCTTTCAAGCTGTTTAAGTTATGTATCAATCTTTTCCATTTTTCCAGTAGCTCTCCCTTTAACTCATCGTCCCAATCCACCTTTGCTAAGCATAACTCTTGAAAGAAGACTTTCATTTTAATTGTGAATGGGGTTAACAGTCCGATGGGGTCGAAAATTTTGGCAGAGAGCCGAAGGACTGATCGCTTTGTAGCAGGTAGGGTAGTGGCATCTTTCGACCATTTAACATAGTCATGGAAAAGTGTGTCCTCGTCAACATTCCAGGGTATTCCTAGAACCTTTACTGGGTCGTTTCTTGTTTTGCATTCCTGATCACTCCCGGGGATATTATTTGCTTTATCGTTGCTTTCGTGTTGGTTTTCAGCTCTATCTGTTGCTATCTTTTCTTGCAAGTGTTTGGAATTCGTATGCCATTTTCGTAAGGTAAAACCCCCCGAACTCATTAACGTCTGGGATTTCTCGTAGACTTCACCTGCTTCATTATCGTCGAAAGCACCACCAGTGAAGTCATCTACATAAAATGATTTCCGCAGCAAAGACACCATTTTGGGTTCCTTTTCTTCATTCACAGCGAGATGGTGCTGCAGTACGGACGTTAGAATGGCAGGACTTGAGACTAGGCCAAACACTAATCGACAGAATTGGTACTTTTGAATTTCGGGTCTTTCTTTGCTTGGATCATCAAACCATAGGAATCTAACCATTCGTCGGTCTTCTGGTGCAATCTTTACTTGGTGGAATGCCTTTTCAATGTCTGCGACCATGTCGATTGGGTATCCTCTGAAATTGATGAACACATCGAACAGGTACGGAACCAGGTTGGGGCCTTTTTCTAGACAGTTGTTGATGGAAACACTGCTGTTATCGGGTTTTGCTGAACCATCAAATACCACACGCAACTTTGTAGTTTCTTTATCTTGCCGAACGACACCATGATGTGGTAAATAGTAAGCCTCTTCCTCAGTATCATACTCTTCAGGCACTGGTTCAATAATGCCAGAAGTTATTTGTTGTTGAATAATCTTATCATACTCTTGGAGCAGATCTTTATCTTTCTTAAGACGCTTGTGGAGTTGTCTCAGGCGATTCGCACACGACATATATCCATTTGATGCAGGATGAGATTCGGATTTCCATGGCAGGTTTACTTCGTAGCATTTCTCATCGTTGTGGTATATTAACTCGTTGAGGAAATTATCATTCCCCATCTTCTCGTCCTGGATCCCAAGAGATTCAGTGTCCCAAAATCTACGTAGTTCGTTTGTTAAGTCTTGATTCTTGTCTTCAAAAGCAAAACTATTCTTCATTGGATCCGAATTTTCTCGCAGAATGATGAGATTGGTAGATGATGAATTATCTTTGTCTGCATTCTGTGTTGGACCAGAGATTACCCAACCAAAGATAGTGTTGATAGCTACTGGACCTCTTTGGCCTCGACGAATTTCATCCGTGACAACATCGAAACAATGATCAGACCCAATCAAAATGTCAATGTTTGTTGGAACATCCTTAGTAAGACTGGAATCTGCAAGCTGTAAGCCATGTAAATGTGGATGGACTTCCACATCTAACTTCATCGAGAGGGGCAAGCATATCTTTGAAAAGGTAAGAGCAGAGATTTCAAAGTTTTCGGGTCGTGCTTCAAGCTTTATCTTTACTTATTGTATTAAGGTTTAGGGTCTCAGTTCGCAAACTGTCCAAACCAAGTTTCTCCTTTAATTGTTTGGTAACATACGAGCGCTGGCTACCGCTATTGAGTAATATTCTAACAGGAACAAGTTCACTTTCGTCATGACTAAAGGCGAACGTCGTTGCAGTCTGTAGGAGTACGTTCTTCCCATGAGTTGTTGAATGCTGGTTTACTGTTGATGTCGCCACTGTTGGTCCGACTGGGTCTGCTTTGACAGGGCTCTTGGGAATCTCTTGTTTCTTCGAAAGTTCCTTTGGATGATCTTAACCTTTGCATATTGATTGATGGTGAAGCCCTTGACACTTTCTACATCTTTTGTCACATTGTTTCATTACGTGTCCCTTACGCAAGCAGACAAAACAGCGACCATCTCGTTTAAGAATTTCTTTTCTTTTGTTGACATCACAAACATCTTCACACGAAGCTGAGTAATGAGGGTTTTGGCAAAATGCACATCAAATGGAAAATTGATTTGTCACACCAGATCCCGAGGCAAGTAGAGCTGAAGCCGATCCCAGACCTCGAGGGGCTGGGGCATTAGGTTTTTTGTTCTGATTGTCAGAGTGTGTTTTGATATTCTCACACACTTCTCGTGCTTCCACTTCCTTCTGAATGACATCTAGGAGCTCTCGAATATCCCACACATCTTTCGTAGTATTTCGGGCGATTTGGATTCTAACATCAGATGGCAACTTTGACATTATTACAGGGATAAGCAAACTTCCATACTGTTCTGCCTTGACTCCAATAGCTTCTAGCCCCCTAACATTTACACTGACCTTATCGTAAATTAATCTCAGACTTGATGCTGTGCCTCCACTGCAAGAGGGCAATTTCAACAACTTGTCCATATGGGCTGCTATAACTTGTTGGGTTTTGCCAAATCGATTGTGGAGTATTTCGACAGCTGATTTGTAGTTTTCTTCCGTGATGGTCAGTCCTTGTATTGCTTGCAAACCAGGACCTTCTAACAGTGAATATAAATAATTGAATTTGTCAATAGGAGTCAGGTTTGGATTGTTATCAACAGCACTCTGAAAACTATCCCAGAAAGTGCGAAACTTAGTTATTTCACCATTGAATTTCAACAAGGATAATTTTGGCAATCGGGATTTTGGTACAAATTGGGCCATAGATACTTGATATGATTCTTGATTTAAGTGTCCACTAACAGATTCGGTCGAATTTTCCGCCAACGACGGCTGACTGTTCAAAGGCTCACTAATCGTCGTGTTTTGATGTGCCACAGGTATCGATTGTACTTGGTGTTCTTTTGCACATAATTTCTCGATTTTATTCTTGATTTCGTAAACTCTCGACGTTATTTCCTCAGATTCTTCGATATCTTTTTCGATGTCTTTTATGTCGCATTCTTCTAGAATTTCGTCGTCAAGCTTTTTTACTCCTAAAGCTAATTTTTCGTTGAGGAGCTTGTCCAGCGTTGTTAAACGATCTAGTTTAGATTGATCTATGTCTCCATTCATATGCTCTATCGATTCTTTCATATACTTCGTAAGGACACCTCGATTCGCAGAGCGAATTGCACGTTTTCGCTCAATGGTCTCGCTCATATTTCGTCGTCAAAATATAAATTAAACGTTGTTTCTTCGGTTAAAATGCTTTACGTTGGGCGCCATGTACTGCACGTCGCAGTTAAATGTAAAATAAACTTTATTTCTAAACTATAAACTATAAAATATAAGTTGAAAGTCGTTATAAACGTGTTTTTCGATTCGATTCATGAAACCAACAAAAAAACGTCTCGTTTGCGCATGTCTGACATATTGTTCGCTATGACAAAAATAGCGGCGACAATTTAACCGTTCACAACAGTCAGTGATTATATATGGTTGCCAGATGTTGCAGTAGTATGACGACAGCGACACCTTCACAAGTGAATATATCATATTTGTCTGAACAGCTACATGAAAAAATCATGTGGAATTTCATTTATATGTATGATGATCCGTGTTACTTATATTTGACATTTATTTTACCTCATCCATAAATATTTGCTTTCGAGATGCAGTCTTAAGATAGTGTGCGGTGTTCCGGAAAAAAAATTCTGAAGAACTTTCTAATGAAACAGAAGCACGTATGTCAACATTCAGATGTTTATAAGTAGGAAGTGTTATGGTGTTTAATCACATATATCCTGAACAAAATAAACAATGGAAATTATGTATCTATAGAATATTTGCTTAAAAAATAAAATACTAGTAAAAGCTAAAACAGCAACAAACTTACACTAAATCTAGAGATCAAAAAGCCATCACGCATGAGGATTCTACATGCAACGTGATTGATGTTTATTTAAAAAGTATGGGATTTTCAGCAATCACTGGGATTTTGAAAAGACAACGAAACATTCCGATCACTAAATCGTGCCATTCAGGCACTCAGTATTTTTACGTTAAAGTATTATCGAAAGGACCATTCAATCATAATGTCCAATCGGCGTATTTCAGAGATACAGGCAAACTGTGGACACTGGTGAATTCTCACTTCAGACATATATGAAGCTCATTGCATGTGCATATAGCCATAGCGTAGACGTAGTGTGGTATAGTGTAGTATATAGTGTGTGGATATACTAGTGTGTAATAAGTGTAGTGAAGTATGATTTAGCTAAAGAGTAACGAAGTATAATGCGGTATGGAAGGCATAGTATGGTCCTTGGCACCCGTCCCACAATGAAACTTCAGATTCTGCAAGTCATCAAAAAACGTTATTAAGTAGGTATTACCAAATTTTAAATATGTACATAGATAAAACAATTGGAATCTAGTAGTGTTTCCGGTTATTGAGAGAGTAATCTGCAGGCCCACAGAAAGGGAAATTTCGGATTAAAAGATCAACCGGATTTTAAACATACCACTGGCATAACATATTGCTATGGGTCTCCACCAACCTACGGCATATGACCCGGTTTTGTAATTGGTTGATCGTAAGAATCAGAAAGACAATGAAACTAAAATACGTTCTAGAAAATGAGTCTCAAAAACACTGATCACTTTTGTTTCAGCAAGCCAAACAAAAATGTTTTTCATTTTAGGTTGGTATTTATCGCGCTGTATCATAGATGAGGGATTCCCATGGGCAGATCGAGGGGTCTGTGTTCCCGTGTGCCCTTGGCTTAGAAATAGTTCTTTTGTTCAATCCTTTGTTCTCCACAAAGATCAGTTTACCATGTTCCTTTGTTCCCCCAGCTTCCATGTTCCCAAAATGTTCCCTACTGTCTTTTTGCTCTTTTTGCCAATGCAAAACATGCCTTTTTCTCTTGTTCTCTGGAAGTGACTCCTGGGAGACCCTCATGGATACATTGACAGATAGATTAACGTTAACTAGCTGATTAATCTGGCTTCTCCTACAGCTACACAATAATTTACAATATTGATTCACTTCCTCTTGCCTCTTCTATACTCCAAGTAATACCTTTTGCAAATATCTAGTTTAGCTGATAAAAAGGGATGATTCGAAAAAGATTGTCGCCTAAATCCTTTCCAAACTACTGAGATGCTTTATCCTAGTTAAATCAGGTGAAGGGAGAATTGCCTACCGAGGCATCAGATTTTATTTACACTAAACAAAAGATTTAATTTGGAGCACCTCTTAAGTCTGTATTCAAATAAACACATGATAACTACAAAGAACTTTAATAAGTCTTTATTCCACAGGTACTTGGCTATTCAGGGTGAGGTGTTTTGGCTGAATTCACCTTGACATACTGCGTCGCCACTGCTACGACCAATGGGGAAACCAGGTGTTAATCTGAAGGCCATGCTATCCTGTTAACGTTTGGGAAGTTATCATTAAGTTTCTTTCTTGATCAATACTATATATATATATATAATTTCATATGTTTTTATACATGTTTTTTTTCCGAATGATTAAATTTCTTTGAATTGTAGTTATTTCTTGAATATTTCTGAGCTATATTAAATACTAATTAAATATACATCAAACCCATGCATGCATAGACTTTGTATTAAACATAAGGAAAAGACAAGCCGAATTTCTTTCAGAATTCAATTTGAAGTCTTTCAAAAGTTCGCGTGTATAGTTTCCAAATTTTACGAGAAACTATATACTATACAGAAGTAAATTTATGGTCACGTGAATGAAACACATGCGAAAAATATTTGACATCATACAAGATATACAAGTTTTCAACTGTCAAAAGTGAAACTTTTATTATAAAAAAGTATTTTGTTTAGGCGCTTGCCACGTATATTTTTTGGCATTGAATTTCCTGTTATTGCACCGTTCTTAGCCAATCAAAATTGTGTAATTTTTCATTTACATTATATTAAAACAAATTAATATATAATGATATAGTTTGCTTTAAATTGACATGCATTAAGCTGTTGAGACAATACTGGTGTGTAGCAATGTAGCTTACAACAGCATAGTTTGTATATGTGATCTGGAAATATGTGCTTGGAGTAGGTCAAGTATCACTTAAACTACTTAAACTGATATGCATATCGCGTCGTTGCAGACTAATGTCTGCATGCTATATTGCCCTGAGCGTATATACGTTGAGAAAAACACGTCTTACTACATTTTCATTCATTCCAGCTATTTGGCTATAGATATTTCTTTCTTGCTCAGAGAGTAAGAATAAACGATTTCGGCGTTTCGCCTCAAAACTGTCGTGCTTTTCGAATCAGCCATCGTGTTTATGTCTCTCATGTATACCGACTAGTTAACACTTGACCCTGACCTTTCTCGTTTCAAGTCCGTGACACACCCGTCCTGTATATTCATTAATAGTGAGGTTTACATTTGATTTTCACTATCACAGTATCACCATACCGCTACCATTAAGGGACCATTAACCAATCAGATGCGTTTAATCAACCCGATTAACCAATCACATGCGTACTTAGTCAGTGCACGGAAGGTAGCGGTAGTGGCAAGTCAGATCTTGGGGAATACAACGGCAACCTCAATGAAAACGTGTTCATTAACAAATAGCATGTTCACTTGACCTGAAGACAAACATGACCCATAAATTGTCAAAAAGTTACGCAACTGCCGTTGCTATGGCAACAATGACGTTTCAATATGTGATTACTGCTCGTTTGCAATCGACTGGCTATTGGTTGATTTTCAAAATACACGTGGCAACTATAAAATTCATATTCTTCATTCTTAATTTGTTGTATTGAGCCAAAGACCGTAAACTATCCATAATACAGTAACATGTTTTCAAAACAAACCAGAAAATGTTAAATTAACTTAATTAACTTATACTTCGCTGTAAACGGCTTAAAGTGCTTATGTCACAAAAACTTTTTTTTGATATTTGGTAGAGGACAAAAAGTTAGTTAATAGGTTCTTTAACATTTTTCGGTTTTCTCTTTTCATTCGCGAGATATGAGGTTCTAAACCTTGAAAAATTGGCTTTTAGCGAAAAATTGTCGCGCCCGGAAAAGGGTCTGGGGCGAGAGCCGTGTGACGTAGCTTAAGGGACGGAAGTTCGAATTCACATGTGAAGGAGTACTAAAAAGCTATTGGGAAAACATATATTTTCCAGCATTCATGGTTCTCAATGTGACTCAGAATACAATTATATTCCTGGGTATATATACAGGATGAATCAAATGATACCAGTCACGAAATTGGAACTCTAGAAGCAGTTGATAGCGAAATTTTAGGCGATAATGATGCATATAATAGCATATTGCCTTTATGCCGGTGGAGCCGCCAACAAGCCAAGAATGCTACGCGCAACATCTAAAACCATGCGCAACACAAGGAACAAAACGAGATGCTAGAACGAAGATTAGACGGCCTTAAAGATATTAAATCATGGTGAGCGTAAACATAGATTTATTTAACATTTTAACGTAAAATAAGTATCTCTGGCTGATATATTTTTTATACGGCATCAGTCATATCACTTTCCTCACCTGTATCATATTTCGCAAGTGTAAATGCGGCAATTGTGTGATAATACATATACACACGAAGCTTGGTGCTGTCAGGAGATGGAATCTTGTAAATGTGGGGAAGTTCTGAAGGATAACTTGGTTTAAGAAGATGTACCACAGCCACCGTGCTGTTACTGCTGTATCATTCTACACTCGGGATTCAGACCTATTTGCTTGGAAAAATGGGCTCTAAGAAAACTTGCGAGAAAATACAATCGTTTAATCGTTCGTATTAAATAAACGTGATCACAGATAAACACTGTAGCCTCAAACAAGAATATATACGTAATTTGCTCTGAACCAGTCGGTTTATATTTTCTTTGATCTCGTGTCTTGTATTTTCTTGCGAAGGTGAGGGAAGTGTACATGGTTTAAACTCTTTGATGTGACTGATGCCGTATGAGCCCGTATCCCGTAAAATATATTAGTCAGAGATACTTATTTTACGATAAAATGTTAAAATAAATCTTTCTTTACACTCCTCATAATTTAATATCTTCAAGGCCATCTAATCTTCGCTGTAGCATCTAGTTTTGTTGCTTGTGTTCTGCTGATTTTTTTAGATATCGTGCGTACCATTCTTCGCCTGCTAGCGGTTCATCGGCATAAAGGCATGCATCATAATCGCCTAAAATTTCGCTATCAACTGCT